TATATTATGTACATATTTCTTATATTTTGGCTAATAGAGATATTTTCTGAAAAAAATAAGAAAATAGAAAATAAGAAAACTGGACTCTGATCTATAATAGCAGCACAGTGCTTCTGTGTAGATGGGTGCATTTTTAATCTTAAAAACAAGCACTACCTTATATGAAGCATTAGATGCTGCTTCATTTACAAAAGTTTTAATTTTAGTCCATTTAGTGCCCCACTAAACAACCTGAAATGTTTCAGGAACCTGAAGATATGGGGCCTTGTGTGCATGTAAGGTCGACCCAAATAAACCTCAAATGGAACCCGGGACCCAGGATGACATCTGGTCTGTTGGTGCGGGTTGTGGAGCTGCCATCACTGGGCCCAGGTTCCTGCTCAGAACTGCCGGCCATCCTTTGTCTCTGGAGGAACCTTGGTCTCTGGACAGACATAGGACCGATAATGCAAGACATAGTTTAGACCCTCAAGTGGGGAGGAGATGAGCACAACTGAGCCTCACTGTCCGCTCACTGAAGGGAGGCTCTCCCCACTTCTAGATTGTCTTGTGGATATCAGGTTCACAGCAGGATGGCAGATGCCTTCAGTATTCACACTGTCACAGAAATCCTGGAGCTAATCGATGTCAAGAAAGGCTCTTGATAGGGTGAATTATTTAAGATGCTGAGCCCCAGGACCTTCTGCCTGATCATGGGTGATCAGCCATCTGGCAAAGATGCTCACAGTTGACCATGGTAATAAAAGATTCACCACCAAGCCACTCCATGCTCACTTCTCTCAACATCTTCAACAGAAAGGCCCACATGCCCCTGGAGTGTGCCCTGGAATAGATTTCTAGTACTGCAAATGAAAAAATAAAAACATCTCCAAATCAGCACTGCCCATCTGCAGAGAACTTGGGGAGGTTTAAAAGCAGTTGCCAGGGAAGAGGATCTACAGTGCCAACATGATGAGCCTCAGAACTCAGTGCCACAACCTCACCCTTTTGTTCTCATGGAGTCAGGGGTGAGCCTCTGGCTAATGCAACAAGACAGAGGATGAAGGGGTCCTCAAAACCAGACAACAGACTTGATTTTTTTTACAGTCAGCATTTCAGGGAAGATATTTACCAACTGCTTGTATTTTCTGTGACTGCTGCCCACTTCAGCAAGCCCTACTTCTTCTCCAAGGATCCCAGTACTTTTGTCCCCACTGTCATGGTCTCCTGGATCCTAGCAGTGATTTATGGAGCTTGATGACATCCCAAAGTGCTTACAGTGCACTTGAGGCCACATCACCATCACAGAACTGCACTTGCGGGAAGGCCAGAGACAGTAAGATATATCCAGGGCCTGCCTCACCTGAGGCCCCAGCCAGGTGACCAGGCCCAGGCGAACAGGTGCTGCTTCCATTGGCCCCTCCTTGTGAGGTGTCCCACTGACCACCCTCCCTAAAGTTGCAACCCCCACCCTCTATGCTTTCCTGGGCTGCAAGGCATCCTCCACTCCCTGCTACCTGTCCACCTGGAGGGAAGAGGGCACACACCATGACTTTGCTCTCCTCTGCAGGTGCCATGGCTAATCCTTCACTCAGTGATGTTCCAAACTGTGATGCCTTGAGACTGGTGAGAGCTGAGGTCAGGCCTATAGGCTCTGATGAAGCTTCGGACATGATTGTATTTTGGGGGGGATAGGGGTTTGTTACCAGAAATCGAACTTCTGAACTAGTGCATGCAAGACAGCTGCTTATGCCACTGAGTTAAATCCATGGCTTTCCTCAGTTTTTCATTGGGCAGGAAGGCTGTTCTTCCTGATTTTCATATCTCCATATTGGGCTGCTCCCTGCTGACCACTGCTGACCCCCACTCTCCTCTGTTCTCTCTCCTAGGTTTCTTACATTTGAGTCTGTTTCTGCTGGCACCTGCTCCAAAGTGTTCCTTCAGTGACGTGGTCCAGGTCTCAGGCCAGCCACCTTGGGCTAAGTCAGGCCATGCCTGCTGGTCTCCCCTTGTCCTCACCCTGGCCAGCAAATCATCCCACAGTGTGCTGCCATGCCTATCACCAGACAGTTGCTCAGATCACAGGACAGCAGCACTGCCCCTACCTTCCCATTGTCTGGTGCCCCCTGTACTTCCACCAGTGACACTCCTCTGTCCTGATCCCACCAGACATACACCCCAGTGGTTCGAGTACCCTTACTCTTCAGCCTCACATTTGTTTTGTCTCCATAGCAAGAAGCTTGTTCCAATAACTCATACTCTTGGCTTAGGGGGCCTGTTATTCTTCTCTCTCTCTCTCTGTCTCCCCTCCCCTCTCTTTCTCTCTGCCCAGGGCAGCCAGCAGGGCCACCCCATGTATCGGCACTGTCACCTGAGTGATAGGACAGGGACAGAGTAGCAAGTGTTGTATAGGCTGAAAAGAGCCAAGGACACACTGAACAAGGACAAGCTGACTGCTCTCTGTTCACTTTGCTCCTGCCCTCGGTGCAGTGCACAAATTATTGATAGCTGTAGGACTTATCAGGAACCCCTAGCTCTATGCCAGTAATCAGCTGCCCACATCCATGGAAGGTCAATAGAAGTGGCCATGCCATGGATTCACTGGCAATTCACCATGCTTGTGCCCTTCTCTGGACACAGAGCTTTCAGGAACCAAATGTGAAAATATGAATCAGGTCCCAACCATACAAATTCAGGCCCGCAACCATATTTTTGAGTCTCTTTTGTGAGAACAGATCTGCTCCACTCTTTTGCATTTCACATTTGGGGCAAGTATTATAAGACAATCCTATAAATTGTGTGTCCTAAATTGTTTCTCCTGCAAAAGGTGACTACCATAGACAGGAAGTGTCAGTTAGAAAGCCAAGTCACACTCATTCTCCATGGACAGAAACGCAGTGTGATAATATCACTGGTTTAGACTCAGCCAAAATATCAGAGAGACTGGGTGAACTGCACAATCTGATTTTCCAATACCATTCTCCCATCCAAGTACTAATCAGGCCCCACCATTCATAGCTTTTGAGATCAGAGCATATCGGATGTTCAGCTTGGTATGGCTGTGACTCCAATAGCATTCTATACTTTATCCATCCAAAGAAAAGTACATATGTGCCTTCTGGTGATATAACAGTTTAAAGGACAAATAAGTGGGTTATGGAACCAATTATTATAAGTGATTCTTTCATATGATAAGACTTCACCAGCCTAACAGTGAAATGAGATGGTAAACCTTGCTGTCCTGAAAACTGCAGAGAAAGAGAGGGATATGGTAATGAAACAAAGATACCAGGGCAAAGGGTCCCCATGAGCTAAGAAGCAGGGCCATTACTGTTTCCTGGCCTAGTCACTGGTTATCTCCTGGTCTATGACTGGCACCAAAGATCAGGAAGCTGGCCATTTTGAAAAACCAACACCTCAAGTGCAGGTACTGCCTCCGGGTTCCTTTGGAGGGGCCATAGATTTAAGAGGTTCTTGCAGTCCACTCACCTGCTATTTCCATCCCTCCTAGGTGTTCTATAATCTCTATGGCCACAAAGATGGTGGCTGTGCCCTGAGAAGCAAAATGTCTAATAAGCCCAAGGGAGGGTTTGCTCTGGAGACTCAGGACCTGTCTTTGCAAGTCAGTATGCTTCAGACCTCAAGGAACATTTGTACATCCTGTGAAATGGCTAAGGTGGACTTAAGAAAGCCAGTCAGGCTTGGAACAAGGAAATTTCTGTGCTTGTAGGTGCAGAACAGAGACAAAAGTGGCCACTGGGGAGGCTGAGTTTCCTTTGAAGGAGACTGGGGCTGCAGCCATGAGAAATTGGGACCCACTCTTCAAGATCAGATCAGAAACACAGGGGTGAAGTGCAGTCAGAAGCTAGAGAAGACAAGGGCAGCTATGACTGTGAGACTGCGTCTTAGAAGGGAAAGAGGCCAGAAAAGAATGGGAGTACACAGAAGCAGCCTGCTCTGAGAATGGTGACAAGTGTCCTCAGAACTGAGAAGTTCATATGAAGGGGAAGCAAATCTTGAAGTGATGTGCCCATGATCCAACCACAACAGCAAATGCAGGGACAGGCCTGCAAGGCATTGTCCCTTGGTGCAGAAAGGCTCTGGCATGCTGAAAGGCAGGAGAATAAAGTTTTGTGTTTTAAGACACCCACTTTATTTAAAGGGAAAAAGAAAATAAAGTGGGTGTCTTAAAACACAAATCTTTATTCTCCTGCCTTTCAGCATGCACAAAAAAAAAAAGAATTCTGAAAAAAGAAAATGAGGCTCAAAAAGATAAATTATTGGCCTAAGTTTGCACTGAGTGTAGTTCATTTAGAGCTACTCTAGTGTAGACCACTCTGGTGTACTGCTATTTTTCACATACTGCTTCACAAACACTTCTTAATTAAGAACTCACTGAAAATACAATAAAACTGAAGGGGGCTTGAAAGAAAAATACATATAAGTGAAACCCATAAGAACGATGATTTTTAAAGAACTTCATACATTCAGGGTTTCATGAACATCTGGTTCTGTATTTTTAGATTCATTAATATGAAGAAACCATAATACACCAATAATGTCAAATAAAAAATAATTGAAATGCCTTATAAAAAAAGACACCCACTTTATGGCTAGTTTTATGCAGTACCCCTTGGACACCGATATATTATTAGGCATGGCCTGACTTAGCCCAAGGTGGCTGGCCTGAAACCTGGAGATCTTCCAAGGGAAGATTTGAGATAAGGAAGTGAGGTCACTTGGATCAGAAGGGATTCTAAGAAGCAATAGTAAAGAAGTTCCTGAGAGAGGGAGGAAGGTGTTTTCAGGCAGTAACAGCTCAAAGGGGTTTATCCAGGAAATTCTGTGGCCTGCATTCAGCTCCCAGAAGCCCCAGGCTGACAGTTTTTCACAGCCTGCCACAAAATTCCAGGGCCTGAAGAGAAATGGTGCTGGTTTCCAAGAGGCTCTGGAGGGTTGGAGTTCAGGTGAGAGCTCCCTGCAATAGACACAGGCTGAAAGAGTACTGTGGAGTTTGAACCATGTCCTACCCAGGCTGGGCTGCAGTGAGGGCCCAGCTCTGGGGAGAGGGACCTCACCTTGTCACATATCCTCAGGTTTTCTCCAAAGGCCAAAAGTGCCCCCCACAGGATTCTCTGAAGAGAGCAGGTGTTCACTTGGGAGCTGGCTCATGGTTTCTCACAAGGCAAGAGAGCAACAAGCAGGTGGACTGGGCCTGGCTGGGAGAAGGGTCTGGATGGGGCTCTGGGCAGGCAGATGAGAAGAATGGGGAGAAAGATGTTCACCTGGCAGGATACTGGGCTCAGCCACAGAGTCCTGGGGAGCAGCAGGACTTGGTTGTTTATAAGATGAAAATAACTTACATTAATGTCTTCTTGAAAGCAACTCTTTGTTTGGTATTGCTGTTTCCAAAGGTGACAATCACCAGTGAGTCTCTAATCCTTCCAAGGGCCATAGGAAATATAGGTGTAAGCATAAAACCCTGTTTGCAAGGGTACCGTAAGCTCAAATTCAGGACACCTTGTCTTATTACAGGACTCAGGGTGAGGGACACATCACCACTTCTGTGGTACCTTGATCACGGGTCAGCAGAAACCCCTCCTGGAGAAATCCACAGAGAAACTGCTACCAAAGACACTAGTTTTCAATGTGTTTTGACAGGTGAACTATTTGGCTAGCAGTCTCTCTAGTGTGGCCAAAGGCAGATTTGTGATGGAATGTTACCAAAACAGTAACAAGTAAAACTTTCAAATCCTAAAAGTCTACTTTTAAACATGTATTGTTTACTTACTAAAAGAACAAAACTGTCATGCTATAAAAGAAAAAGGAGTGACAGAAATCTAAAACATTAGTCTTGTAACATTGAATGCAGAAGGTTCTTCAAGTAAACAAAATTCCTTGGTGGCAATGCAAGCGTTCCTCTGAGCAGTCCAAAACTGGCTTCCTATCAAGCAAGGGTGTCAACAGCTTGCTAGCACACATATGGACAAGTGGACAAATCATCATCTCTCTAAGATCCCAGTCTGAGTTCAGATTTTTCCCCACTTGAGCATTGAGGAAGATTGGGGAGAGCCTCAGTAGACAATTTGAAGACCTAACATGGTATGGAATTCAGTGTCATTTAAACAACAAGAAGATTCAAAAGTTATCAGCCTCATCTAAATTTTCTTTTGGTCAGGATCCTAGTAACTATTATTTTTCTACCAAAGCACTAGGTATGATCAGCAGAAGTATAAATTTTCTGGGTTACTTTTCAGTAAGTTCACAAAGGAAAAACATATCCCAAAATAAATGTTAAAAATGCAGTCAAAGTCTTTTATAAACCAAGAAACTCAGATGTATAACAACTAATAACACCAACATGCTCTACAAACTATAGTAAGGCTTACAATTTCTTAAGTGCTAGAATCTCTATCAGATTGCTACTCTTTGCCTCCAGTATCTGGATCAGTAGGTCTGCAATGGAACTCAAAATGCTGCATTTCAAATTAGGTCCCCTGTTCTTGCGATGCTGCTGATACACACACGTCTCAAAGTACTTAATTAGAGCATGAAAAGCACATGTGCCTTGGAGGAGAGAAAATGTTCATCAACCAGAGCTGTGGGACTGAAATGTGTATCAGGGTTAGAATGGTGATTTTTTTTTTTTTTGGTACAGCATGACAAACTGTATGGAAAAATAAACTGTTTGTTAAGACACCCATGTGGCTTTTCAGGGTGCTTATATTCTGTAAGTACTGTTTATAATCCAGGGGTTTAATTTTGATACTAAACATGTAGTATCTCTGTAATGCTTTTTCTTGCTTTAGATGCAATGAATCTGTAGTGCCTTGCATCTTTTTGTGGAATGAATGACCTGCACTGTGTCTTTCTTACATTACATGGAGGGATTGGTTTTTAATCCCACCTTTACCAACACAACTTTCCCCCTGAATATGGGGTATAGTACTAGTATAGCTATGTTAATACAATAATTTATTGATGATATTTTTAATCCTAGGGATCTTTAAAAGGGTGGATTAGAATTCAGTGGTGTAGGAAAGTTAAGTAGTTCTCTCTAAAGTGAAAAAAAATGGATTCTAAAACTTGAGGATTCATTTAGAATACAGTGTATATTACAGTGTGTATTACAAGGAGGTCTGAATAGGACTTGAAGATTAGTGAGACATAGGCAAGAGCCTCCTAATTGACTTAGTCTCTTAGAAGTTTTTAAAACAACAGAGACCTCCTTCCATTTATAAATGACGTTTAACATCTGAGGTAGCTGAAGACTAAGGGGATAATTGCATGTAGAGAGAAGAGTAACAATTTGGCTTCTGAATTCCAGGCTTTTGACCTCTTTAGGATAGCTAATTCTAAGCCCAGTTACATAGGTCTTATAATAAGAGTTTTAGTAAAAGTTAATGGGAAACAAATCCAAAATAGAGTTGTCTGAAGTGAATAGATTTTTTTAGTATGAAGTTTACATCCTTATCCATTTAACAGTTTCAAGTGCAGGGCAGTTTGAAAAGTGAAAAAGATAATAGGCATATCCATGACAGAAGATCTTGGGTGGAATCTATCATTTCCCTATAAAAAGAAAGTTCTGATAAATATGAATGATGTATACTGCCTATATGTAACATTGTTACATTGTTACTTTAAATAAAAGACAATTCATTAGTATAAAATGAAAAACAACAACAAAAAAGAAAGTTACAAATCTTAGGGTCCCAGTCAGAGCATAACTTTGGGAAGTAGTCAAGGATGGAGGGAGGGGGGGTGCCTGGGCCTGCTGGATGGACCTGGAGCTGAGTTCCTCAGAGGAACAAAGGGGTCTCAGGAGGCTGCTTTGGCCCTTAGCCTTGGAGACCTAGCTCAGCAGAGGGGCACAAGTAACTCTGGTGGCTGGGGTAGCACGTAGTTCTCAAGGGACTCAAATATGTGGAGGCCTGTTCAATAGCGCTGCAGCACATCTGCCACTGGACATTGCATGCTCTGCCCACCACCACAGGAGCGAGGAATGGGGGAAAGGAGAGCTAGGCACTGCAGTCTCCACACAATGCCTGAGGGAGGAATGGCTGGAACTGACTGTAGGTTTTTCAGGCCCTGCTCACCACAGAGGGAGGAATGTGGGAAACTGGCACTAGGTTCTTCAGGACTTCAGTACAGTGGGAGGGAGGAACGGGGGCGGGGGGAGGCACACACTTGGTTCTGCTGACCTTGCCCACCACTCAAGGGAGGAGTGGGGGGAACTGACAGTTGGACATGCAGGCCTTGCCCACCACCCTAGGGAGCAATGGCAGGAAGTGACAGTTGGTTCTGCAGGCTCTGCCCACTGCTGGAGGGAGGAATGGCAGGAACAGAGGAGTGGCTCTGAAAGCCACGCCTACTGCAGTAGGGGAGTGGCCTTTCACACATCTGTCAGTGGGGAAATCTCAATAGAAACAGGTATCCACATCAACTGCCCCTGAATCCTGGGAGATGCCCAGATCCGAGGCCTCAGCACTTCTGCCTGGGACAGTGATCCTGTAGCTCAGCGAGCAGCAATGGCATTGCTACCACCAGTGACCTCCCCAAAATCACAATTTGGGCCTTTTTGGTCAGAGGTGTGGTTAAACTCAGCATGTTCTCATCTCATTGCTAGGGTTCAGTTCGCTTCACATGTAAACTCTGAAAATAACATCTTTATTCAAAGTTGATGGAATCGTGCATTACTAGCTGAGATTTTATCTTTATACTTGTCTTAACTATAGTTTGTATATAAACATACACATGTATTATTTCTTTGGGCTTCTCACAGTAGTAAGACAACATGATCCTTATACTTGCATGTCTTACTTATTTCACTTATGAATATGGTTTCAAGTTGCATCCATTTATAAAAGACTAAAGTTTGTCATCCTTTATGGCTGAGTAGTGCTCCATTGTATAAAAGTAACAATTTTTTAAAAATCCATTCTTCAGTTGATGGGTATTTAGTGTATATTATCAAATAGTTTTTGCTATTACAAATTGTGCTATTCTAAACATGGGTGCTCAAATATCACTGTTGAATGACATTTTTAATTTTTTTTCATTTTTAATTCTTGTAGGAAGATACACAGAAGGGAAATAACTGGATCAAATGAGACCTCCAATCCTAGGTTTTTTGAGGAATCTCCTCAGTGACTTCAAGAATGGTCACACTAGTCTACACTCTGACCAAGAGTGGACATGGATGCTTTTTCCCCACATCCCCTCCTGCATTTGATGTTGTTTAAATTCTTGAAGATAGACATTCTTTCTGGGTGAGGGGGAACCTCAATGTTATTTAAATTTGCATCTCCAGAATGACCAGTGATGTTGAACATTTTTTCATTTGTTTATTTGCTGTTAGTATTTTTTTTTATTTTTGGTAACAGGGATCTAAGCCACGACTTCATGTCTGCCAGGCAGGTGCTAACACTACTGAGCTAAGTCCCTAGCTCTACTGTTTGTGTTTCTTCTTTTGAGAAGCATGTATTCATCTCTGATGTCCATTTTTGGGTTAGGCTTTTAAATTTGGGAGGAATGATGTTTTTCAGTTCTCTGTATGTTGTCTTTTATAGAAATCCTTTGTCTGAGGCACAGCTGGTCAATATTTTCCCATGTTGTGTGGTGTCTCTTCACTCTATTGGTGATTTCTCTTGCTGTGCAAAAGTTTGTAAGAAACTGAGATCCCACTCATTGGTTTTTTGTGACAGGTGCTGTGCTGCTGTGCTTCATTCATGAAGTCTTTGCCTCCACAAATGTCTTCAAGATCATTTCTTACTATATATTGCAGTAGATTTAATATTTCTTCTTTCCTACTAAATTGGTGAATCATTTTAAATTTCATGAATAATTATAGTCATGGATCTGTGTTGAATACCACATATGTAACTGTTTTATATCTGTATAAAGATTTCTGAATATATAGCCAGCTATATTTCTGAGTTAGCTTATGAAATTTAGGAATCTCAGTGTTGCTTTAATTTGCATGAGGTCTTGGAATTTTCTAAGGGGAGTACTATGTAAACTGAAAATAATGATAGTTTAACTTTTTTCTTTCCTGTCTTTATTCAATTGAATATTTTGTCCTTCTCTAATTGCTCCGTCAAAGTTCTTAGGACTCTTTGAACAAAGTGAAGACAGTGGACATTCTTGTTTTGTTCCTTATTTTAGAGGAGTAGTTTTCAGTTTTTGTCCATTTAGCATGAATTTGGCTAGAGATTTGTGATAGATGGCTTTTAAGGACTGTGACAAAGACCATGATGTATTCCAATTTTCTGTAGACTTCTTATCATGAATGGGTGCTGGCCTTAGTTAAAAGCTTTTTTGCATCTATTGAGACGATCATATGATTTTATCTTTGGAGCTGTTATTATGACACTTTGTGTTTGTTGATTTATATATGTTGAGCCATTTCTGCAACCTTGAGATGCATC